TGTGTGTGCTTGAACGCCCTTATCGCCAGTGACCCTCAGCACGTACGTTCTGTGTGCGTGTGTGCGCAGAGCTTTACGTCCCTGACAAAGCAGGAGGCGAATGTGGTCACTGACGTGCACCTGGTCGAAGCAAGCCCCGTCATGAGGTTCGTGTGTATGTGTGTGTGTGTGCGTGTGTGTATGTGTGTGTGTGTGTGTGTGTGTGTGTGTGTGTGTGTGTGTGTGTGTGTGTGTGTGTGTGTGTGGACGCGTCAAGCGATGCAATACTCACTGTGTCGTCAGGGACGCTTGCTTTGTTACCACGCCATCACTGTGCATCACCTGACACGGCAACCTTGTATGCGACATCCCCTCACCATAATCACCACGACCATCACGACCATCACGACCACGGCCACAATGGTCACCATGACCGTGATGCAGCCAGCAGCAGTACGAGACACTGGGGTGCGGGCAGGCGCCAGACCTGAGCAACGTCGATCTCACACGCAACGAGGAATACTTGACGGGACGGGGCCACGCCGGCATCAACTTCCACTGGTATCGGCACTTGGTGAGTGTCACTCCGTGCGCAGTTGTGTGTGTTTGTTTGTGTGTGTGTTTGTTTGTGTGTTTGTATGTTTGTGTGTGTGTGCGTGTGTGTGTGTGTGTGTGTGCTGTTGTAACTCCGTGTGTGTGTGTGTGTGCTGTTGTAACTGTATGTGCGCACGTGTGCTTCTTGTATGATTGCCTTTGTGTCTACTCGTGGACTTGTGTGTGTGTGTGTGTGTGTGTGCGTGTGCGCGCGCGTTAGTGTGGGCTTGGGTGCATACATATGCATATGTGTGTTGGCTTCCTGCATCAAGCACTCTGCCTGACATCTGCACATGGCACTACAACGGTCACCAGTGGGCCCTTCCAAAACTACCCGGCTTCACCTTCCTCTGTACGCATGCAAACACGCACCCATTGCGCATTGTGTGGGAGAGTGTGTGAGCTAGTACATTCATTGCATCCAGTATGTGTGCAGAAGAGTGCTGGCCATTATGTTTATTGTGTGCGCGGAAGATCAGCGCGTGATGCATTATATGTTGCACAGTATCACTGACCCTCAATGCTGCGCTTGTTGGGTGCCCGCGTTTGTCTTTGCTTTAGATGCACACGAGTTCTTTGACACAATGCCAACACACCAGTTCCAGCTGACGGAAGATGGGTAAACGCCTGGCAACACGCGTACTTGAGTGTGCTGTGTGTTCGGTGGCGTGTGCGTGCGTGCGTGCGTGCGTGTGCGTTCTTGTGTGTATGGAGGTACGCGAGACAGAACTTATCTTCAACCCACCACCCACGCACCAACTTACCACACACACGCACACATCCACGCTCTCTTCACCGTCACCATGATGTGCAGTTGGCGTGAGCGGATGGTTGACGTGTGTGACGAAGCGCCACATCAGCTGCGGTCAGTCCATGGCGACAAGGATGGTGGTGGTGGTAGTGGCGGTGGCAATCACGGTTGCGTGTGGCGATGGTGACGGCAGTGGTGTGTATGGGGATGTATGGTGATGTCACGTGTTGTTGTTCGCTGTATTGGCTCACGTACACTCGAGTGTCTGCGCAGGTTCGTGCTGTCTCCAAAGGAAACTGTCCAGTCCAAGGTGAGATCAGCTCCATGTGATGTGGCGTTTCTGCAGCGGTCATGTACAAGGTGTATGTATGTGTTTGTATGTCACACACACACGACACACGACACACACACACACACACCACACAACACAACACAACACAACACAACACAACACAACACAACACAACACAACACACCACACACACACACACACACACACACACACACAACACGGTACAACACAATTCATGTGCAGCTGTACGCGTCGCTGCCGCTCGTGCGCACGGCTCGGGTCGGCGATGTCGGGGAGGTCTCGTTTGAGGCGATGGAACAGGCAGAGCTCGTCGCACACACGCTCGCAACCAGCACCATGGGCGGTGCGTTTGTGCATACGTTCGTGTGTGTGTGTAATGTGTGCGTGTGCGTTCGCGTGTGTGATGTGTGCGTGCGTGCGTTCGCGTGTGTGATGTGTGCGTGCGTGCGTTCGTGTGTGTGATGTGTGATGTGTGTGTGTGTGTGTGGGGTATTTCTATGGATTCCGTTTGTGTGTAGACCGTGGCTCGTTGTTTGAGACAGTGCTGCCAGTCTCTACACAACGTTGGAGTTACATGCTGACCGACACGCGTCAATAGTCGGTTCACATCAGCACGGTCTCATCGCTGCCATTACTGCCATTACTGTCATGCGCGCAACCACTGCCGACTGGACGCGAGCAGGGCGCGCTCTCATCTTTGACTACGGCGACACGACCAAGTTTGATGACACGTTTCGGGTGGGTGATGGCACGACACGCGTGTGAATGCACAATTTGTCAATATCCGCCTGCACACACACAGACACAGACACACACACACACACACACACACACACACAGACACACAGACAGACAGACAGACA